GGTGTTTTATGTATTTATATATATTTATGGTGTTAATGTTTTGTGTGAGTCGCCCAGAATCCCCCATTGGGGGGAGATGGGCGGGGGAGAAAATAAATAAATCAATAAATAATACTTCTGGAACTCTGAGAGAGTGAGCTGACTTCAGACAGGTATTTGATGTTACCCAATCTTTGCAACACCAGCTGTCTGGCCTGAACGAAGACCAAAGCTAATAAGGAATCTACAGGAACTCCGGATGTTCTTAATTTTTTGCTCTACTGTTTTTGTCCTTTCCAATATTTGGTTAGGTTGGAAAGAACAGAAAGCGGGGGGAAATTCAAAGATTAGATAAAATATTACAACCATGAAGTTCAAACTCGCTCTCAGAAATACAGTCTCTGAGAATGAGCAACTGTTAAAGCATGAAAAGCAGGAGCAGTTGGAGAAAGCCATGTAAATGTGGCCCAGCAAAGAAGGTCTCAGTACATAAGAAATACAGTTTGAAAAAGCTTCATGCTTCTCACTTCAGGATGCTGTTTGTAGTTATCTATTGAATCCCTGCTAACTTTTAAAAACAAGCATCCTAACAGTTTAGAATGTTATACCTCTCCAAAATGTCAGATCCACTAATAATTTGTATATATCATTTTTTTCATAGAACTCAACCTTCACTTCAGGTGCCCAGAATTGAATATGAAGATCCTGAAGTTAGTGGAAGGAATCGCTGGAAGTATTTTGAACGGTGGGGAACAAACAAAACTAAAATTTTAATGACCAACTTCACAACTATTGCCAAAATACTTTGGAAATGAAGATTCTTTCATAATTCCAAATAACCCCCCCCCACACACACACACACACAAAAATAAAATACTTATAGCTTCAGGAGTGTCTGGATTAGATGCCTTGGTTAAAGGTAAATCTGACATGGTATAGTTTACAAGATGCCCATGTCTGTTGTAAGGGACAATACTAATTGTTTTCATTATTTTAATAAATAGTTTTTCAACTGTTAATAAGTCAGAAATTTTGCAGAATGGAACAGGGTTATATGTATCCATAAAAACTTAGTAACATATGTTTGAAATGAAATATGAGAATGAGAAAATATATTTCTGTAATAGCTGAAGGAGGCTAGTTATTACTTATTTATTTATTAAGCAAACTTTTAACGGGCCACAATCAAGCAACTCTCAGCAGCTTACAGAGTATATAAACAAGAATTAAAATATTCACAGTCAGGTTAAAACCAGTTCGTTATTGAAAAATAGTCAACTAAGTAATATGTAGTTGCTGGTGAACCTAACAGACCTAGAAGTTATAAGTGAAGAAATATTCTGTTTGTTTGTTTCATTGGCTTATTCTTAATTTTGTTTTTATTTTTAGACCTTTCATCCCATTTCATAAGCCAATTCCACTGAATGTTGTTTATGCAATATCAAAGTAAGTATAAACAGTATTAGCTCTAATATTTGATCACTAAATGAAAAGTTATTTAATATATCAAGAGATTAGTTTTTCTAATAACAAAGCAAAATTGAAAACCATAGAAACAGTCTAATACAAAAGATTGTTAAGCATAGGGAGGCACACACAGACCTTCCAATCCCTGGGATGCTCCTGTGAACTGCACATGTATTTATATGTCTCTATGCCCTGGGTAGGAGAGAAAAGTAGAATTGCATTATCTTTATGACATTCCTTCCACATATGGGTATCATGCTCATATTCAGTCAGATTATACCTATTTTTTTCCCCAAATTGCAGATATAAAGTTCTTCCCTAAAGGTTTCATGTAGATGTTAAATAATACCTAGGATAAAACTAAAGCCCAAGGAATCTGTATAATGTACAGTCATGTGAAAAGTAAGTACACCCCAATGAAATTTTTGACTTTTTCAACATATTTCAACATACAGATATTTGATCTTCATTTCAACAACACTGATAAACAAAGGGGATATAATATAACAAATATTGTGTGCCATTTACATTTTGTAGTCCATTGTGTAATTTTAAATAAACATAAATGCAAATTTCATATGTAAAAAAGTAAGTATACCCCTACTTTTATCACTACCATAGATACCTAAAATTAGAATCAGGTGTATCAGATCAGGTGCAGATGATTAGAACATCATTAGAGAGGATCTGGGAGGAACCTGTCTTATTGAAACCTCAGATGTTTAGTTTGATTTGCTCTTTGTTGTTGAGGGGTGTGGATTTACCATGCCTAGACTGAAAAAGCTCTCTGGGGCCTTCAGAAACCAGGATAGAGATGCCTGTGAGTCTGAGAAGAGATTTAAAAAGATTGCCAAACAATTCAATCATTCTGCTATCTCGAAGATCATGTACAAGTGGAGAAGATTTCAAACAACTGCCAACTTGCCCAGGCCAGGCTGTCCCAGCATGTTCAGCCCCAGAGCAGAATGCAAGATGCTGACAGAAGTCTCTAGGTACCCCAGAATTTCATTACGTGACCTACAGGTAGCTCTTGCCACTACTGATGTCAAAGTGCATGAGTCTACCATTAGAAAGAAGCTGCACAAATTAGATCTACATGGGAACTGTGCCAGGAAGAAATGTTTGCTGTCCAGAAAGAACACCAGGGCATAACTAAACTTTGCTTGTGAACACCTAGGCAAAAACCAGGACTTCTGGAGTAATATGCTCTGAGGAAAGGAGCAAAGATAGTTATTTGGCCACAGTTACCAGAAGACATGTAAAAACCAAATACAGCATTTCACCAGAAGAACCTGATACCAACCATGGTAGTGGAAATGTTATGGCTTGGGGCTCCTGTGCTACATCAGGGCCTGCGCAGCTAACCATCATAGAATCCACAATGGATTCATTGTATCACAGGGTGCTTGAGGATAATATGAGACCATCTGTCAGAAGATTGAATCTCAAATGAAAGTGGACCTTGCAACATGACAATGACTCTAAGCATTCCAGTAAATCCACCAAGGAATGGCTGGGGAAAGAAAGAAAGAAAGAAAGAAAGAAAGAAAGAAAGAAAGAAAGAAAGAAAGAA